AGAACAGACAGAAGGTCTTATATTTCCAAATAATGCTGTAAAACGTGTAAATCTTGATGGTACTTTAAATGGTATTACTGTTAATAAATGTATACATGTACATATGCTATTAACTATTTTATATAAGAAAGTCATCCTAATTAATTTACGTCTGCTGGTTAGAGAAATAACTTCAAATTTCTCACGTAACCGAGATGTTCGAATAGTTACATAATCTGGCCAGCGATGATGTTTTTTAAAAAATAAATGTCGCAAATACTTATTTTGTACCTTTTCAATAGTGTCTAAGTAGACTTGGGGTTGATCTGTCCAAATTACAGCTCCAAACTCAAGTTTTGGCCTTACCAAATAAAAACCATAAGCTGTTTTTTTAACGGAAGACCAGGAAGCAATAAAAGAGGTAATTATCATACAATGTAACTTGCAGCACAAAAAAGTGGCTATGACAACATTATGCCGCTGCTTTAATGAGCTGCAAGATACAATAGCACTCATCCAGGATCCCTGGATAATAAAAACCAAAATTGTAGGTATTAAAAATCTAAATGGTTCAATTTTTAGTTTTTCCAGAAACCAACAACCTAGGACAGCAATTTACATTCCTAGGAAATACAAAGCCCACTCAATGGCGCACCTTTCCACCTCCGATTTAACTGCGGTTAGGATGGAATACGCCATCAAAAGGGAAAAGAAAACGTTAATCCTGGCATCTCGATACCTCCCTTCCGATGCAACCACGCCACAACCCTGCAAATAAATGGAGGATCTTTTGTCTATCCCATCAAAAATCATGGAAAGCATCGTAGTTGATGTCATGACTAACTTTTTCAAAGAGCATAACGTAATACCAAAGGAACAACACGGTTTTGTTAAGGGTAAATCTACCACAACAAATCTTTTATGCTGTATTAACGATTGGTCTCGCTCACTCGAATGCAAACAACCAACTGATGTAATTTATCTCGATTTTGCAAAGGCTTTTGATAGGGTCCCTTTCGTCAGACTGCAGCACAATTATCTAGGAAATAGGAGCTTCCGAGTCAAAGTTGGTCAGTCCTACTCATCAGATAGATTAGTGACAAGTGGTGTCCCCCAAGGCTCGATACTGGGTCCGCTTCTTTTTATAACTTATTCGAGTGATCTACCTTACCATATCCAGTCTCAAAGAGCATTTTATGCAGATGACGCAAAATTTTACGGAAACCCCTTAGTAGACTACGATAATATTCAAGCTGACTTAAATTCAATAAGTGATTGGTGCTCGGACTGGCTTCTCCCGTTAAATATAAACAAGTGCGTGGTGTTACATATCGGCAAAAATAATCCACGTCTTGGTTACTCGCTCGGTAGCCATAATTTGGCGCAAGTGTCTTCGTATGTAGATTTAGGAGTTTTAGTGACGTCAGAACTAACATGGTCTGAACACATTCTAAAAACATGTAAACGTGCAAATTCGATGTTATATTTGCTTCAAAAGACTTTTGCAGAGGTATCCTTTCATACATACATCAAATTATTTAAGATTTATGTTCGACCTTTATTAGAATATGCAGGTGTAGTTTGGTGTCCGCTTCTTGTGCGAGACCAGAACCTTTTAGAAAATGTTCAACGCCGGGCTACCAGAATGACCTTTGGAGCAGTCCGACCATCATATGCAGAAAGACTACAATTGTCAAACTTGTCAACTTTTGCGAATCGTCGACTACGAGGGGACTTAATTCTTACTTTTAGAATACTTAAATATAATTACGGAAATCTTAGTGACATTTTTTTGTTAAATACTGACTCTCGTCTACGTGGTCACGAACTAAAATTAAAAAAGGAAAACCTAAAAACGAAGCACAGACAATCATTCCTTTCCAACCGGTTATTTAATGTATGGAACGACCTCAGCGACGAAGTTGTTGGTGCCATAACAGTTAACGTCTTTAAAAATAAGTTAGACGCGTGTTTGTTTAATTAACATTTTTATTCAATTTTTAGTGTTATTTTTGTTTCAGTGTGTTTACTTTGTTAGAATTTTTCTATTTTGTTTTTAGGCTATCATAGGACTTGTGTCCTCAGCCTTTATCAATGTATAATAATAATAATAATAATCTGATTGCATATTGCCTGGAATAGAAGTTTGAGCTGGTAATAGGTTGCGACTCAAAAGCTCATCACTTCAGTTGGGGCAGTAAGAATAACAACGCTAGAGGTAAGTCACTTTATGATTATATAATTACCAAAAATCTTTGTATTTTAATTAAAGGTACTACACCAATATTTTTAAACTCCCGCAGTCAAACACTAAAAGATATCACTTTATCCACAACTGGTATCTATAAATCAATTACTGGCAAGTGTCTGATAACATTTCGATGTCAGACCACCGCTGGTTAACATTCAAAATAAACTTGATGTTGCCGACCTCCACGCTATCTCGGTACCCTAGGAAGACGGACAGGGCAAACTATGCCCACCTTCTCGCAAGAGGCTCTGAGACAGATGAAGGCCAAAACACCAAACAATAAAAATGCTTCGGAGAAGTACTCAAAACACTATCCAAACCACAATAAACAATGCCTGTAAGAAATCCTGTCCCCTCGGGCTGGTCCAACACGATCAGATGACTACCGCATGGTGGTGTCACGATTTGGATCACTTCAGAAAGATGGCTAGGAAATCCTTTAATGAGGCAAGAACCACAAAACTCAAAGAGGACTGGGATACTTACAAATCTCACCTCAGAGAATACAAAAAAATCGTCAGACAAAAACAGAAAGATGCATGGAGATCCTACTGCGAAGAAATCAAAGATTTCCCGCTAGCAGCGAGGCTTCAAAAATCTCTCTCAAAAGATCCACACCGAAGCATTGGTGCGCTAATCAAACAGGATGGCACGAAAACTGCCAAGCTCGAAGATAGAATCAAACTTCTGCTGTCAACAGACTTTCCTGACTCGGTCATCACAGACATGGCCGACTGGGTAGAGGAAGAATACAATTCATCTGTCTATGATGGGCAAATTGCCAAACACGTTGTAGACGATAAAAAAATTAGATGGGCAATATCCAGCTTCTCTCCATTTAAATCGCCAGGACCTGACGGTATCTATCCAGCCCTACTTCAGTGGGGCCTGGAAGAACTCACACCGCTCCTGGTGGGTATATTCAGATCCTCGTTGGCTCTGAGGTATATTCCCAAAAAATGGCTTGAGGTAAAAGTGGTATTTATACCCAAACCTGAAAGGATGGATTACACTGTCCCAAAAACATACCGACCAATTAGTCTAACATCGTTTTCCATGAAGACATTGGAAAGGCTATGAAAAAGGTACATAAGGGATGCGGTGATTACAACAACACCACTACACCTAAACCAACATGCATACAACCCAGGCAGATCTACTGATTTAGCCCTTCATCTTGTTGCTGGCCTGATAGAAAGATCCCTGGACAATAAAGAGTCCGCCTTGGGTGTTTTCATAGACATAGAAGGTGCTTTTGATAAAACCACTTTCACAAAGATAATACACTCGCTAACCAATAGGAATGTTCCACAAATGGTTAGTGGGTGAATACATAACATGCTCTCAAAGCGAGCAGTACACATAAGTGTAGAAGGTGTGAATATAAGAGGCTTGGTTGCGAGGGGATGTCCACAGGAAAGGGTGCTATCACCTTTACTGTGGAATATGGTCCTCGACACCCTCATCAGCCGCCTCAATAATGACAGTCACTACACAATAGCATATGCAGATGATCTGGTCATTCTGCAAACAAGGAATTTTGAAAACATACTCTGCGAATAGTGGTGCAAGGAACATTCACTGTCTATCAATCCTAAGAAGACAGAAATGGTCCTTTTTACAAAAAAACGAATGAAAATGGAATTAAAACCCCCAGAACTCCTAAACACAAAACTAAACTTTGCAACAAAGGTGAAGTACCTAGATCTCACCTTTGACAGCAAGTTAACATGGAACTGGCATTTGGAAAACAGAGTTAAAAGAGCATACATTGTTTATGAACAATACCGTCGAACCGTGGGGCGCACCTGGGGTTTCTTCCCAAGAGTCGTCGCATGGACTTACACGGCTATCATAAGACCTATGCTAACATACGGTGCAGTTGTCTGGGTACCGAAAACCCAAAAATTAATAGCTATCCGTAAACTAGAACAAATTCAAAGAATAGCATGTCTCAACATAACAGGAGCCATGAAAACAACACCGACCAGAGCGATGGAAGTGATTCTTAGTCTCACTTTCCTTAATATTTACATCAAGGAGATTGCTCTGTCAACAATGACACGTATCTGCACGGTTGAAATAGAACCTGATGTAGGATCTGGTGAGGCGAGACGCCACTTTTGGCAGGAGGCGCTCGATACGCTCCCACTGCTTCAAGCGAACATGGACTGCATCTCACCGAGGTATACCTAATAGAAGAGCTAGAAGTGGCAGGTACGATTCATATCTACAACGACGGTTCTAAAACAAAACAAGGCTCAGGATGTGAAATATACTCCAGATTCTTAAACCAAAACATAAAATGGGCTGTGAGTAATAATGCCAGTGTAGTTCAAACAGAGCTAACGGGGATTCTCATAGCAGCAAAAGAAATAACCAGAAAGAATATCGCTGGAATTTAAATTTTTTAATTATTTCAAAAAGTTTTGAAGACAGGAAATGACTCGACATTTGCAAAATGCTTTGGAGGAATAAATGTGCATTTTTTGGGGTGATCCGAATATTTTTTCTTGCACAAGTGACGTTCGTGAGAGAATGCTATTTTTTTAATAAAATTTCTTTAACAAAATAACTTCGGCACCCACCCCCTAGTATTTTTTACACTTATTTACAAACAACCTGTATACCCTAGTTTCAGCGTTCAATGTTAATAATTCTTTCTCTAAAATTAGGGAAAGTGATAACGGTCTTGAACGTATGATCACAGCATCAAAATTTGTAAATCAATCCATTGAACTGGTCGAATTATATATTATAGAACGTTTACCTTTGTTAAATTTAACCATTCTGCTCCACCAGGATGCTTTTCAACAAAAGCCGTCAAATCGTAAATCCCATCATGTACTCTCCAAAAACCTTCTGCTCCTTCAATGTCTTTCTTTTCCTCCAACCAACGATCACTTGATAAAATCAGTCCATTGTCCCTAGTAGCCACTGGTTTAATATTCAAAGATGATTTTGGAATAAAAGTCGATCTGGGAGGCATTTTTAACTGTAATCTGAAAATTAATATTGAACATGTTATATACTTGTATAAATTCTTTAGATATTCCCAAATAATTTTTGAAGAATAACCAGAACGAAATATTGAAAACTATTTTAAAACACTCAAAGTGAAAACACATTTATTGGCCGATTAAATAAATTTCGAATCCACGTATTCGTCTTTTACGAACAGTGCCTTACCAAATTGGCTAACAGAACAATAACTCATCAGTCATGGTGTGAAGACGTGTTTAACACATGACTTTCCTATCTAGTTATTATAGGCTTTTTCCGGTTATTTTGTACAACCTATTGCAGCACCTCTATAAATGTTTAGAGGATAAACTAAATATACAGTGTGTCTACTTAAGTTGGAACCATATGGAAAACATTTTTATTATTGATTTTAGGAAAAAAGTTATTATTGATAAAAAGTCCTGCATGACCCAAAACCTAAAATACAGTCATCACATATCAAATTTTTCAAGCCGTATACGAGGTTTGTCAAAAAATATGAATTTTGCTCAAGAGTAAAGTACGTTTATTTTTAACAAAATCGAAAATTTTCATTAAGAAAAAATTATTAGAATTGAATATTACATTCAAATATGCAATTACACCGATCTATCTAAAAAAACAGATTTTCTTATTTTTTATAAACTCTACACTCTACACATTGATTGTAAATATCTGAAAACGTTATAAATTACGTTAGCTGCTATAAACATGATACGTTTTCCTTTTGTTGATGTTTGTGAAGAATTTAGCAAATTTCTTGTTAATTATCTAATGCGTAATTAATACAAAAATCGCGGAAAACATTTTTTGACTGGGGATTATTGTTCTAACTATATATATCCAGTAGATGCTTGAATTTTTTCAATTCGTAATTTTCATATTTAATAAGTTTAAATAATATTTATTCATTAAAGGTCCACAGTGGGCGAAGCTTACGCAAACCAGAGTCTCCGTTTTTGGCCGTACTTTCAACCCTCTGGGAAAATTATAACTATTGGGCCTACAGTTCTGGGTGACAATATTTTTTTTTTGGGAAATTTCCTCGTCTATTTGAGTCTTCTTTAGATTTTGAAAATGTCAAACAGTTTTTGAGATATTTTCAAAAAACCGAACCCAATTGTTTTTTTCAGTTAATTGTTTATAACTTTTGCAATTTTTGCAAGCGGCTCTTGAATTTTTTTAAAAATCATCTACTCGCTATTCTGAATCGAATGACACCTCGTTCATATTTTTCGGAGGCGGAGAAAACAGTTTGACCCAAAAAGCACTTATTAACTAGACTAACAGCTCAAATTGAAATGAAAAGTCTTTATACAAACAGTACCCTGCATTTCAGAAACCAATAATATTTTATCTAAGTAACCTTCGTTTTTTCGTCTTATTTTTATTCGGTTGTTCTGTGTCCCATTCTTAATGAGACCTTGTATATGTATATGTTACCGTAAATACCCGAAATCCGTTAATACGCGTAATAACTAGTAAGAACCCGAAATAACTAAGAGTGTCGGTAATTACAACGAGGTCTAGGAAAATACCGAACAAAAACTTTTATTCGGCTATTTACTGAAATTTTCAGTTCGAACGCGTTCTTTCTAAGCACACAACAGTAAATAACCGAATTTGTAGGTAAATAATTTATTGCACAAAAAAAATTAATTTTACAGAACATAGAACAAGCGAAATTTTAAACAAAACTGAACAATAATAACTTAACTTACTTATTATTGCAAGGGGTACTATCATGGCATTTTGAATTACACAGAACATTATTTTTTTGCATTTACATAATTTACTTTTACAATTTTTAGTCCATTTGCACATAAAAAAAACCCTGGCTAGAACCAAAATTAGATGAAGCTGCTTGACGTAAAGAAAGGACCCCGCAATAATCTTATGGAAATTGGGTTTCTGTCAAATTGTCTGAATTTTTGATATGTTGTAGATTTTATCATCCTGACCAAAAGTCTCCATGGGCACAAAGTGCAAAAATGAATATTTTGGCAGCTACGGAGCTGCCAAAGCTCCCCTGACCCGTTGCAAAACTATTCATTTTCAATACTATTTACAGCATATTTTGAATATTCTAATATATAGGGTAATGTTTTTGAGGTCACTGGATTCAACCCTCATGTCAGATTGGACAAATTGGCCGTTGACAGCTGTCAATTCACGGGGAACGAGGAATATAAAAGTAAATATCCTCTTTTCACATTGAAAGTTGGGGTTTTTGAGGTCGTTGACAGTTGACAGCTGTCAACCGTCAATTTGTCCAATCTGACATGAGGATTGAATTCAGCGACCTCAAAAACTCAAACTCTCAATGTGAAAAGAGGATATTTACTTTTATATTCCTCGTTGACAGTGAATTGACAGCTGTCAACGGTTAATTTGTCCAATCTGACATGAGAATTAAATTCAGCTACCTCAAAAACCCAAACTCTCAATGTGAAAAGAGGATATTTACTTTTATATTCGTCGTTGACAGTCAATTGACAGCTGTCAACTATCAATTTGTCCAATCTGACATGAGAATTGAATTCAGCGACCTCAAAAACCCAAACTCTCAATGTGAAAAGAGGATATTTACTTTTATATTCCTCGTTGACAGTGAATTGACAGCTGTCAACGGTCAATTTGTCCAATCTGACATGAGAGTTGAATCCAGTGACCTCAAAAACATTACCCTATATATTAGAATAATTAAAATATGCTTTTGACATCTGTAAATAGTATTGAAAATGAATAGTTTTGCAACGGGTCAGGGGAGCTTTGGCAGCTCCGTAGCTGCCAAAATATTCATTTTGGCACTTTGTGCCCATGGAGACTTTTGTTCAGGATGACAAAATCTACAACATATCAAAAATTCAGACAATTTGACAGAAACCCAATTTCCATAAGATTATTGCGGGGTCCTCTGTTTATCTTTCCTTATTAAGTCAATATCAATAAATTTTTGCTTGCAAATATCAAATTCAAATTCATTTTATGAACAACAATGTTTCTCAAAGTAACACACGGCGTGGTACACACAGTTACAACTTTAGATAAAATAACGTATTATGAAGCGGCGCAATTAAGGTGCGGGGAACATTTCCCTGTCTTTCGAGACATCGCGAGATGAAATGTAGCAAATCAAATGTATGTTTCAATAGTTTTTTAGGTGCAATTTGACACTGGTCAGTTTTTGTTTGAGTATTACAATAATTTAGACCTGGCCGTACACAAAGTGAATTTTTTTAAATCCAGATATTTTAAAAAAGGCTTCTCAAATCTACTCTTACCACTTATACCTTTTTTAGGTAAAAGACGTTGGACAACAAGAATTTTTATTTAAAAGTTAAATACAGAGTAGCTAAACTAAGTTATTTCATTTTAAATGTGTGTAAGGTATCTATCGCAGGTAGTGCCCTTTAAGTTTTCCAATAAAAATGAGAGCAGCTTTTAAGTTTTCACCCCACAAAACCCTTCCTATCCAAATATTGTGAAAATACACCAATTATTAAAAAAATTATTTATATAAAACTAAAACCAAATTGAACTTTTAACACTATGTATTTCCCAAATCTTCCACTTTTGGACTGAGGTAAGTTGGATTAGATCGTCTTATAGCCTTAGAAATATGTGGTAGCATTTTTTCGCACCTTTTAGGTTGTTCCATTTAAAAAAAAAACTAACATTTATATTATATATCACTGTATAATCGAAATTATTTTTACATTGTTGCCATTTCTGGTATTCATCTCTGTAAAAGCAGATTTATAGAAAAAACAAATATTTTTGGCTCTACAGACCAAGGCGTTACAGGTGGCCCACTCTGTATACTATTTTACTTGCATTATGCATTAAAGCAAATTGTTCTGCAATAGATAAACTTTTATTATTAATTTTGTTCTAGATATAGACCTTTATGGCGATAGCAATATTTATTTATTATACATTTTGCAATATTTAACAAAATATAAGATAACAGGTTATTTACAGGTCATTTAACAGTGTAGTTAAAAATTTATAATTGTACGTCATGGCACTATAAAAACATCAATCAAAGATTAGAATGCGAATACAGGGTGTCCGTAAAAGGTCTTTACAAAAACATACCACATACTTATTATACGAAAATAATCGGATTTAAGTAAACTTACCTCAGTAGGTTGATTTTTTGAGTTTAAGTATGAAATTTGGATGGTTTTACTGATTTTCTACAAAAAAAGGTGTACCTACGCTTGATAAGACTTAATTACTCATGGTTTTGAGGAAATTTATATTTTAATAGTTTGGAGTATAGGTTTCACAAAAAAAAAATACTAAAACCGACTGGTCTTCCGCAGAGCATATTGTGATAAGGTCTATAAATAACTGGAAAAGAGAAAGATCCCTTGACAAATATCCTAATAAAACTTGATTAAGACAGTCCAAGTTCCTCATTATTGGCCTTTATGCAAACAAACAAATGGGAACAGTAAGTAGCTAATGGGAATTAGCATCCAGATGGTCTATTCTATGATGGTTAGTCGTACCCAATATACCTAGTCTGTGTATCTCTGAGTGATCGATTCTAACTGGTTTGTTATCAGCAGTGAGTACCGATTTTTATTTGTTTGTCTACGATTGTAAAGGAATTTTACACATTAAAAATGCCGAATAATTCTGAACCTTTAACAATGAAATTATTAAACAACAAAATTGATAATATCAATACCCTTTTTGCTAATGGTATAGCCCTTTCGACACTAACGGTTAATGTAGGTCCCAGTGAAAAAACTATTTTGAGATTACGTTTTTCATGATTAAAAAAATGAATTCATAAAACTGTAGGGACATATATGTCCCACTTAAAGTTTTACAAATACTAGTGGGTGCTTCCTTTGCTCTTTATTCATTAGTAGTTGTCCCAGTCGTTATTTATGCTTTGTCTTCAGAGTTTTGTATACAATATCTCACTATTGTAGGTTAGTTAGTACAAATATTTGCCAATTGGTAAACATACAATTGTGGT